CACTTCCATAAATCACCTTCTCTCTTTCTCCCTTGCTAAGAACAATGACTACAAAACAGTACTGGTCAGAGTGATCAACTGTGGCTACTGTCTTTATAGAAGGTGCTTTATTCCTTTATGGGTTAAAGAACTGTATACTTGTACGTGAAATCCAAGCCGATTTGATAACACCTCTCTCATTTCTTTCATTGTTTGATCATCATACTTCTGAGTGTTGTTGTTGATTATGATGCAGTATCCTTGAGGAATCTTAGGGTCTTCACTCACATGATAAAAGGCTATTTAAACAAATAAAATATACAATCAAAAAGATTATTTTACCTTTTACACTTCTTGCGTCAAAATCAGGTGAGTGTTTTTTGGGCAATAGCAGAGTGTTAGGGCTTTGCTCTTCAGCTGCAGGAGTCAAATATTCAGCAGGTGTTAAATCCCGTGCTAAAAACATATATACATTATAATTATAAAATAAAATTTATCTTCTTACAAAGAGGAATCTGCCTGCTAGATCTAGTTACAGTAAGAGAACTACCAAGGATTGCATTGCTCATAGAAACTGCAGCTGGGGTAGTCTTAGTCTTAAATAACAAATGTGGAGATTGTGAATTTTCTATGCGTAGCACAGCTGGTGAAGAGTGACATCTCATAATATTTTTAGGTGGCTTAGGAGGTGTAGCAACTAAACATTCTACAATTTGTGGAGCAATTGATGCATTTTGAACAGCAGGAGCTGGCTGGGCCCGGAGTGAGGAGTAAAGTAGAAGAATTTTCCAAAACTGCAACTGATTTGAGGAACTTGAACTTCATCATTACTTTGATGACAATATTGGACACAGTTAATGACAATAGTGAGCAAGTCCAGTAAGTGTTTATTGAAGCCATGGTTTTCAATGACATACACTAACTCTTGTCCCCCAACTGCCCTCCCTAGTGTCTCTTAAAGCAGTGTGATTGCTAATAGTAGCATATGCATGAAGTGTATCTGCTTCATTGGGTACTTTAATTTGACTAGAAGTAGAAGGACCACCGTCATAGACAACACTATCTTGTCGATTGAGCGATACCACTCTATTATGCTGATTCCCACGACATGCTTGAACAATGAAAACTTTTGGTTTCTCACCAAGCGAGAGGCAGTTACTGGCAGAAAAATATTGAAAAATATCGTCAAGTTTCATTGCTTGGCCATCGGATGCATAAACAATGTTTCCTTCATCTCCATGACTCAGTATAATGACAAAGAAAGTACAAAATTCTGAGTGATCCTTCTGTTGATAGTGTCTTAACGTTGATTCTAACTGTTTTTTTGTAACGTTCCTCTTCAATTCTACCGTAAAATTAAGAAAATTGCCAAACAGTTCTTCTAGTTTGGTGGCATCTTGGTTGCTCCCAACCCTCTCAGCTAGATTACCTCCAGTGAACTCAACATTGTTGATAATGAGACAGTGTCCTATTGGGTTGGCATCCATTGGATAACAGCCTGTTAAGGAAATTATGCAAAAATTGGTCAAAAAGAAGGTGAACTATTTACATACTTTCTTTGTTTTGTCTATCCATTCTTTCTGCTCTAGACAAAACACTTCAGTCTTCCCAACTATAATAATCAAATTCATTGTCCAAGACATACCATATTATCGACACTTCATGATTAACAATTAGATGTGTGTGGTATCATTTATGTAAGTGACAATGAATAAATGATTTTCACACATCTATAATAAACATTATATTTCTGGCTAGTGTATCCCCTGAACTTTGTCTATTACTTTGGCATATTGTTCATGTAATGATTCTATGTACTCATCAAGCTGCTGCATTGCTTTGGCCTCTGATATCTTATAAAATTTGATGCAATTTGATATCAGCTCAAATAACTCTGGCGGTATGATCAAGACATCATTTGGTGTTACCAACTGACATTCCACCATTAGTACATTAACATGTTCCATTAATTGTCTATCCACTTCAATAGCAGCTTTCACTTTCTTAAGTTTAGCCATTGAAATAAGCCTGTCTGTTACAGAAACAGCAAGTGATTTTCCCCGAGCGCTAGGAATAACAGGTAGTCTTAGTGTTGTCCGCAATGCCAGAGCTGTCCCAGCTTGTTTCCATGAAGGTGGCATTCCTTCTGAAATGTGTAAGGATTTGCATACCTGCATTATATTTCCCCTGCTGATTTTTAGCAGCCTAATGGTATCTTCTCTTATCACAGCTAGAAGTCTAAAAGCTAGAATCAATTCAACCTGTTTCTGATTGCTATCAACAAGTCCTGACTCTTGTTTTTCATCTCTTTCCCTTGCTTCACTTCTACACAAAGTATAAACAGATAGTATATTATCATAATTATACACACTTACAAAAAATATGAACTTATTGAATAAGTTCCTTAACTAAAAGCACTACATAATTTAGTTAGCTTAACAAGGCATTACAATGTACACTTATCTACACTTTGTAACATATGCCATATTAGTACATTCACACACACACACACACACTTACTTTAATAGCTTCAGAATGAGGCTGTTTTTTAGATTATCAATGAACCTGATATTATGTTCACTTTGAAGCACACTAAAAGCTTTCTGTGAACTTTTCATTATACTTTGAAAATCAACATCCACTATAGAATTCTTTATCGTTTGCAAGAGGTACTGTAGAACGGTTTCTTCCATCTGTACTTTATCGTTGATGATAGAAATGAAAGAGTGAGGTATATCTAGTGAGATAAGTTCATTATAAAAGAAAGCATAACCTTTGTCGTTTAAATTAGTTTCGAAGAAAAACACTTTTGGGGTATTATTATCACTTTTAAAAGGAGTAACTATATCAGATATCTCAAGTTTTTTGGATTTTCCTATACCTAACATAACGATAATGAGACAGTGAATGTCAGAGTGATCAATTGTGGCTACTGTCTTCAGAAGGCGCTTAATTCCTTTACGAGTTAGAGAACTGTATATTTGTACGTGAAATCCAAGCTGATATGAAAATACTTTTCTTATTGTTTCCATTTTCCCATGGCCATATTGTGAGAGGTTGTTGTTGATGACTATACAGTATCCTGGCTTTTTATAACTAAAGGACCCTATATAAAAACAAACATCATTAATCACACCATCACTATGATAATAATAATAGTAGTACCTGATAAAAAATGAAGATTGATTTCTGATTCCGATGCCAGACTGGAAGAAAAAGAAAATCTTGACATAGAATAAGATGAGCTCTCACTGTACTGGTGTCTTAAACTAATGAAAGATGTAGATGCAACTAGCTCACTCGTTGCTGAAGGAGTTGCCATCGGTAAGCTGATATTAGAGCCATGTGAGTAACTCCGCCTCTCTCTTGACCTTGTGTAAAAATGATTCGGTGTTGAAGACATTGAGGTAGCAACTAGTTCAGTGTGCATGGCATTTCTGGGGCTAGAAGATACACGTTTGGGCAAAGTCTTTTGATTAAACATTATTTCGCTTGAGCTGGCACTTGAAATCATGGAACTTGTTTCTGAATGAGTTCGTGAAGCAAAAGAGAAATTGACAGAGAGAATAATATCCTTTCTGATTGAAGATGTCACTTCGCAAGCTTGCATTCTATCCTCGTATTTTTTTTTTGATAAGCTTTGATTGACTTTCTTCATCAGCTCTTCCAGATTCACTTTTTTGAACTTTATTGCAAAGCGTCTGATGACAGTAACTAATTCGTTGATAAACCAGCTACCGTTAATAAAATGTCTTAGAGCTTCGTATTCATCGATTGTGGCAAAAGCATAAAAAAAGTCAACTTTATCAGGAGTACTGGAGTCAATCTGGTCACCTGACAGGCCACCACCATCGTGTAATAAACCACGAAACATAAAATCAAGACTACCGCCTGACTTAGTATCAGTAGAGACAGTTTTATTATGCTTAGAACCCCGGCAGGCTTGAACAATGAAAACCTTAGGCTTGTTGGCAAGTGTGGGGCACATTCTTGATGTGAAATAATCTGAGATCTCACTTATTTTAATTGATTGACTATCAGAAGTATAGATCACATTCCCAGAATCACCATGACTAAGTATAACAACAAAGAATGCATCATACGCCGAATGGTCAATCTTATAAAATTTGATCAGTTCTTGGTGTAGTTCCTGCAGAGTTGGATCTGCAATCATGGTCACTTTAAAGTTGAGAACATTTTCAAACACATCCTTAATGCTAGCAGCATCTATGCTACTTCCAGGCCTGTCCTCATGCCTTTTAAAATGAGCTATATTGATAAGCAGGCAAAGGCCCTGAGGAATAGACCCCATAGGATAATGACAATCTATAAAATAAAAAGAACATAAGTGAAATTGTACTGTTCTTACAAGATAAAAAGGCTCACTTTCGTCAATTTCTTCTGGCCAAGAGTCTGTAGGTGATGTTGGGAATGGAGGAGTTCCTGGGAATTCGGCCATTGCTTTAACCTAAACCTTGAGCTGAATGAGCTCGATCTTGAGTCGAGCAAAACTGGCTGCGCCTAAGCTTGGTGTAATCAAAGGCGGGGCTTTTAATTATTAACCCTTTAAACAGGGCACTGCCCAGTACTGCAGTGGCCACTTTAATGACTTTATACCCATCATTGTAGTGCAGGAAAGGGTTGTCAAACTTGGTTCTCTGAGCACTCTGAGCAAGAACTGTTGTTATCCAAGGATTGTAACAGGTCCTTTAGATTATGGGACTCATTACATGTACAGGTACATGTAGGTTTTAATATGAGTAGATCATCTGTCTGTGATGACGATTGTTTCCCCCTATGCAATAAGATTATCTACATCTCTGCCTCTTATGTAGTGCTGGGTGATAATACTGTGATATATTAAAATTCACGATAATTAATATATTGTGGTATCGATATTTATTAATAATTATCAAAGGAAAATGTTGATTACATAACGATGCCCACATTTAATGGTTATAATATCTTAATAATGATTAATTAACTATAGCAGTAATATCTCAAAAATTACAAAACCGTACTTTTTGGAAAGCAGCTGAAGTATATCAAGCCAAAGAAGGTTTATATAGCTCTATTTGGTTGTTTTAATAATATTAAAGTTAATGGGTGTGGCTTAATAACTTATCGATAATAGATATCGATATCTTTATTTTTACGCAATTATCGTATTATTTCAAAATTTTCAATATCACCTAGCACTACTCTTATGACATCACGTACATGCTATACAAGTGTACATACATCATTGTTATGATCATGTATATACATGAAGCCTATTTAAACAAGCGTAACAGGGTAAAAAATATTCCTATAATTGATTTCACCACCTTTCAAGTACAACTTGGTCATTATTAAGACTTATAGAGGTTCTCTCTACCTTCTAATGCTTCTAGAGAAGTCTTTAGACAGTATCTATATGTTCTCTTGCTGTTAGAAAGCTCTTAACTTTGTCCCATGTGTAAACTGCCATTTTGTTTGCCGTGACCACACCCGCTCACGTAAAGGAGCATGGGCGGGTGGTTGCTAAGGCTTGTTATTTCTCCAATACAACATGTATAGAAGAAATGTAAGTGTGGACATACAAATATATATATATTTATAGATAGCGCGACGGTGAATTCAATTATAGGAACGACCTGGGGGCTTCGCCCCCAGGTCGTTAAAAACCATCCCAAAATTCATAGAACTTAACCTTTAATCAAGTAAACTGTTTTCTAGGTCTGCACT